GAGAGAGAGAGAGAGAGAGAATATACAGCAGCGCATAGAGGTAAATATATGCGGCAGGGCAGGGGGCGCCATTATATGATCATTCTTGGAGAGTGACATGGAGGAATTTACTACATTAATCTTCTTCCCTCTATAATGTCTCCTTAATTGTAAAACAATAAACTCGTCAAAAGATGCTCCAATGTCTTACATTGTGCAAAACATCCTGACTTCTGATATTCTGTAAAATGCTCAACCTTTTCTCTTAGCTACCAAAATTTCACAGCTTCACTTCAATTGCCTGAAAAGTCAATATTTCCATGAGTCCTGCCCCCTCACATCTGTCATATTCTTTCTGGTCTTTGGCCACATTCGTTGTGTATCACATGGCTCTCACCTTGGTCTCTGTATATTCACCCAAAATGTGATCTTTCAAGCATATTGAGATAAAGAACATATATTGGGCAAACTAAGTTCACCCTGCTATGGGCCTTTTTATGTTGCGTGGGAATTTAGTTCCAACGTTCATCAGACACTCTGTAAATTGCATCTCAAGCAATTGTTACATCCAAAAATCTTTCTCTATTGATTAAATCATTGGTGAAGAAACATTGAATTAAAAGATAGAAGAAATTAATTACATGTGGTGGGCATGCGAGGCAGTTGTTCTCTCTTTCTAGTTCTTCAACGTCTTCTCGTAGTTCATAGTATGTTCTCTGCAGTATCTACTATGCTCTGAAGTCCAGAATCTCGAATTTTCAAGTTCTCTAGGATCTCATGTTCAATTTCTAGAACTCAGATCTCCAAATTCCATCCTTTTCCATTTGGGAGAGGTTTCCTTTTATTTACATGATCTTCTAACTCGGAAGAGAGGGAGTGGCTATCAAACGATATGCAGGGAAGTGGTTTTACCACTCATTCTCCATGTTTCATGGGATTGATCCGTCTATTGGATGACAATGAGAAAGTGGGTTTATTAACCCAAATCCCATGTTTTGCAGGGCTATCCCATGTTTTTGTTTTGGTGTTTTTTTTTTTGAAGCATTATCGGGAGTTGTATTACTATAATTCCAAAATTACAACTGTTTGGAGGGCCACAATGGAGAGAATGGGCAAAAAGTGGTGCTTGAGGCAACACAATACACAAGAAATGGTACTAGTGAGAACACATTGTACAACCAACGAAGAAAATACAGACAAAGAACCATAAACGTGGACTCATGAACAAAATCACTGATTAGATTCCACCAGAATCCCGGGCTGTAGGTCCCTCCTTTGTTAGTGATCCGCTTTAGAGTTGGCCTCCGGCCAAGTATGCTGAAAGGAGATGCATCCCTGCAAAGAAGGAAATTTGCTCAAAATGTAATGGAGACACCATGAGCAGGTGGAAGCACCAGAAGCCCAAGCAATGACATTTTTTGAATCGCTTTCTACGCTCAATGATTCCGCCCATATTCAGTTGAATTTCTGTATCCCTTCAAGTAGAGCTAGCACTTCTGCAGGCTGACCCATGCCACGTGTATAACTGTATTCATGCTTCCTATTCCCCCGATTTATAGAGTTACCGTATTCCATTCACACATGAGCACGTTATTGCCCATCCCTATCGCAATTGCCCTTTTCAGATTTGTCTGCAGAAGGCATAGAGAAGCAGGTACTTTGCTATGCTTGACTCCCACATTTAGCGAAGTCTTCCCATATTGGTTATTGGGTTATGCCCGACTCCCACGTTTGGAGCACTATCCCATAAATGCTATTAGGAGCCTATATTTCCCCAATGTCGTGTTTTAAGGGTTATCCGCATATTGTTCATCTGTAGGAAAAATAACTGCCCTTCTGTTCTAGAATTACCCTTTGCTGCTTTTGATTGCAGAATATGGTAGTTGTGGGGTCTTTGGTCTTATGTTCAAATGCATTTGCTTTTGTTCATGCATTCTTAATGTCACGGCAGTAAGTGGGTACATGCAACTTTCTAGGAAGCCAGATTTCAATTTGGTTCAGAGGGGAATTTATCCACTTGATGTGCTATTGAACGACATGTCATTCGATTGAGCGCAGGAGGGCGATCAGTCTGTTTGGTTTTGTGCGCAAGCTAGTGATTTTCCATGTAATGATATTCCGGCTGCAAAAGCATAGTGGTAGGTTGCTTCCAGAAATATGCACAGTACTGCAATAAAGTCACTTAGCCCGCATATATTTGCTATTCAAGGTGACAAAGGGAGGGTGGCTAAGTACGATCATGCAATTGTTCTATTCTCATCAAACAGATGCTGGTGGAGTATACCCTTCAAGTCGTATCCAAGGGAATCGTTAGGTTTTAGTGACACTGACACCATAGTTTTTGGTCTCGAGGGGCAGTCCATCCTAAACCACTAGACTCTAGGTGAATCTTTGATAACCATCTTGCATTGGCCTATATTGGATTAAAAGCAGATGCATAGATTTGACACCTTAACTTTAGACGTTATATCTAAACTTCCCTATCATTTGGCGGGATGCAGGCTTTTCGCCAAGGTCATCATTGGTAGCTACAAGTTAACTCTATAGTACTGCTATAGTCATTACTTTGTTTACCAATAACATAGGGTGGTATAGGCATGAAGCACATAGGACATGAGCCATGCAAGCCATAAGTCAACTAGGACATGAGCTCTGCAGGGCATGAGTCACACATAAATCATACCAGACAGAAGCCATAAAAGACATGAGCCATACAAGGCATAAGCCACCCAGGGCGTGCGCATTGCAAATCTTGAGTAATGTAAGGCATAGACTATATCAAGTATATGTCACATAAGCTATAGGCTCATACTTAGGATATAAGCTTTATGAGGCAATACTTCTCTAGGTCATGAGCCGTACATAGCATATGAATTTCTTCAAATTCTAAGTGACACAACCACCACCTAAATAGTATAATCCTTTTAATGTTGTATAAGCACACAAGTGCATGTATGTGCTTATACATGCATGCATGCCTTAATGTATGTATGCGCATACATATGATCCTTATTCATCTTAGTTGCCGTTGTTGAAGTTGTTGACTTCGCTTGTCAAATTGGAAGTCAAACTCAATTTTGATGCGTTGTTATCTCTATGGGTTAATGCTAGAAATATTTATGCTCGTGTCTTATGTGTAACGTGTTGTGATAAGAGTAAGAGGAAAAAAAAAAGAGAGGGAATGATGGGTGAAAATAAATTTTTTGAGAAAAGCAGAAAATGAAGACAATTTTCTTAATAACTAGACCATGTTGTTGGATATTTTTTTAATTTCTGTTCTTTGTAAACGGAAAGAAAGTACATAATTTCTTCATATCAAGATGGGCTCTGAGTTTCACTTTTCTAATTTTATTTTTTTGTAATGGGAGAGAAAGAACCTGAGATGATATATTTTGTGGGATATATACTGTGATGATGTCTTCAGCTTCTCTCTTCAATTTTGCAGATTAAGATACTCAGGTTTTCAATCTCAATGAGGGAAAGTTTCAATTTTGCAGATTAAGATACTGTCAACGGTTTTCAATCTCAATGAGGAAAAGTTTTGTAGATTGAGAGATATTCAGAAATTTGTTTCAATGTAGTTACCTTAGAGTTAACCTTGATTATGGCAAGAAGATGCTTGTCTTTTTCTCCTCTAATGAGAACGTGCGCTTTTCTTTTGGTTTTTTTTTGTTCTTCTCCCTTTTCTTTTTGTTTTTGTTTCCTGTTTTGATTGTGAAATATTGATAGCTTAGTTTTTTTGTTTTCCCCCCCTTTTTTTTCCTGTCCTTATTGTGAAGTATTGATAGCTATGTAAGTTGAGGTAAAGATTCTTTGCTCTTTTTCATGTGCCAAATGATTTGAGTGTGCTCATTGATATGATTTTTCTCAGGGTGTGTGTGTGTAATATACTCCTGTGGGACCAAACTACTGTCTTATGGCCTCCGGCAAACGAGTTATTTTTTTTTCCCCTCTAATTTGATGTTTTGTGTTCACTTTAGAATCACTAGATAAGTATTTTTTTTTTTTCTAAATTAATTGTAATTTAAGAAAAAAAAAAAACCAAAAAGAAATCTAGAGTTTGAGTTCCTTTGTGCTTGGATATCATGGTCAAAAAATTGGATGGTCCTCAGTTAATATTAGGATTCTTTTCCAAATATAGATTGCAATTTTTTTATTTTTTTGAGGCGGGTCACTAACTTGAAGAGGATGCAGTCAAATATTTGAAATCCTAAAATAGATAGGGCTTTAACTCATTTAGACCCAAAGTTTGTGCACATGCAGGTCTCATTTAGATGCTAAAAAAGTGGCCCAAAAAAATTAGGTAAAATGAAGCCACCAGTTTTTGGCCATTTGATATATTGTTCTCCATTGGCCGTTTGGATTATAGAATCTTCTAATATGATGACTATGTGTATCGTAATTCAACAGAGCAAATCATCAAATTCTGTTTTTTCATCATAAAAGTTATCATTTATCGACTTTTTCTAAAAGTTGGAAACAAATCTTTTTTATTTCTAGTGATACATAGTTGCTCTAAACATTTTCCTTTCAATATAGCAAATCAATAACAGCCAGTAGTTTATAAATGAATATTTTTTGTTTATTTATTTTTTGCCAAAAAGTTATTTGGGAATGCCTCATGAGTCGAAACAAGTGAACTGCAAATTGTGCTTCAAATGCCTGTATACCTATACGCAATAGTACTTAATATTTTTTTTAAAAAAAAAAAATTGCTTTACATACCCCACATAATCCATAACGTCTTTGTTTCGTGAAGGCAATTGTAAGAGACCTTTTAACAATAGATAAAGGGCTTTCTTTCAAGGAATTTACCTCATGTTTTCCTAAACTAATGTTATTACAAATTCCTGTTGATTTTTTTTGTTTTTTACATTCATACCGCCATTTTCCTTATCGTTTTTTCTTTTTTTTTTTAAAATATCCCCATTTTGGACCGTCAAGGTCCGATGTGACCTTGGACCGAACTTCAATAGAATTTCTTTACGATGACTTTAGACCTTCGAGGTTCAATGTCCCATCACTTGAGACCTTGGAGTTCTAAAGTAGACTTTAGACCTTCGAGGTTTAAGGTCCCATCACTTGAGACCTTGGAGTTCTAAAGTGGTATGACATCGGACCTTCAGGGTATTAAGTGAGTGGATTTTTGACTTTGAAGGTTCAAAGTGTCATCAGAAACTTTAACCAGCATAAGTACCAAATACCACTTTAGACTTTTAAGGTCCAAAGTCAAAATTTGGGTTGTCAATTTGCACCACCAAGATCCTAAATGGGGCTATTTTGAAAAGAAAAAAAATATATAAACATAAAATACAAGAAATGGAAAAAAATTCTTTGACATATATTTAGGGGATATGAGATAACGTTCTCGTTCCTTTATGTAAGAAGAATGCATATGAGGTTTTGTCGACCCAAAATTTTCAATTTGTCTTATCAATTTATTTTAAGAAAACAAAAGAAAGGAAAGAAGACAAAATCACATAATGGTAGATATGTGTTTAAAGAATACAGGTTTTTTATGAACTCTAAATCTTTTAGTAAAAAGAAATATTCAACTGGTACACTTTGCGAAATTCCAAATTAAAATAAAAACCTCTTTTTTAAAAGAAAATTATTAAAATAAATAAATGAAATTTTATCAAAAATACTTATTGAGAAATAAGGTATTTAACATTCTATAGTCTACCCATGTCATTTGATTCTTGATGGGCAAACTTTATATGCCTCCTCTACATAAAACTTCTATACTTACCCCCATCCAACCTTCTATACTTATCCCTATCCAAGCGTTAGAAATCCCTATCCAACCGTTCATTCTAAATAGAAGGCTTATATGGCTTCAATCACAATGAATGCCTCTATACCATTTTATTTTTAAATATTTTTTATACAAAACATTTTGACACTAAACTTTAGACGATCAATCCTCTCTTGAACTCGCACCTATAAAACATATAAAAAAATATTATCAATAAAATAAAATGACTAAAATACACCTTGAAAGTTTCAAGGGTATTTTGGTTATTATATTTTATCAAAAATATTTTTTTAATATTTTACTAAGGTGTGCCCCATTGAGGTGATGGCACATACTAAATTTCATATTCATATATTTTGTATAAAAAAATTAAAACCAAAATACCCTAAGGTGTCAAATTTTAGATTAAATGGTTAGTGGCTTACTTGATCTAAATTGGAAGACTGGATGAAAAGGGAACTATATATCTTTTATGTTGTAGGGGACGCATATAAGCTTTTCTTTTAATTGATTTTAGCCAGTAAGACCAACCGGTTTTAACGCGTAAGGCTAGTTAAACAAAATTTGATATTTTTTTAATGTCATATCTCCTATTTTTAAAATATTATTCATATTTTTTATTATTATTTGAAAATCCAATCCAACATTTCGACTAACCGTCAAACAATTTTGACTGAACTAAACCCCTTGCCGTTTCACTAATAAATCCGATCTTGATAGCATTGAGCCAATCTAGAGGATTGAGAATGACGTACACAATTTGCCCAATCTTTTTTGAGCGATTACTTTCCTATTATTATTTGGAACACAAAGATGAGGTGTACATATGTGATTATATTGCACGTTAATCCACATGCAATGTTGGCCATCCATTTGCATGTTCTTCAATCTATGTCATTGCTTGCACTAACCATTGCATGTGGCCATTCATTTGCATATTCTTCGATCTATGTCATTGCTTGTACTAACAATGGGCCAAAGAACTTTTTCTACACATCCAATCAACTTGAAATTTGGAACATATGAACCCATCTCAATTAATCGCATCCAAAAAAATGTAAAAAATTGATCAAATTGTTCCTAAAAGGTTTTAGGAGCATATTGATTGACTTTTTATCTAAACCATCAAGTCTATGTATTTTTGGCGCATCTTAGTAAAGCTTTTATTGTATCTTTTGGTCCATCTTAATAAAGTGTACACCCACCAAATTCTATGCAAAACAAGTATGGACAAGAAACTAAAATTCAAAAACTAACATGCAACCATACTCATCCAATTCCTTCCCCCTCTAATATGGGCAGTCGAACATATATTAATGTCTTCCATATTTTCCTTTCTAATCTGGGTTGTTAATCTGAGTCGTCGGTCATAAACTGTTATATACACAAGTGGATGTCTAAAATCACCAAATCCAGAATAATTCAATGGATCGATAACAGTCTGACAAGAATTTGTCGAGCTTCAAAAAGGAAAGTAGAAACTAGAAATTCTATACCAATATCACCAATGCAATTTGAAGACTTTCCCTTTTACTGAACAAGACTACATTCTTATTATATCTCATGCAATTCTACACAAATATGCTACATCCAAGAATAGGGATTCCCATCCTTCATTTTGCAAAATAATTTAACCTAAACTTCATCCACCCATTCTCACCCTACCCAATAAAAAGTGAGAAAGAGGAAGATAGAAAGCCCACAAAATGTTTCCATCACAATAAATGCCAATGAAGAAAACTGAACCAAGACTTTCTACTTGGGGAAGGAAAACCAAGCAATCACTAACCCTTTGAAAGAATAAATAGAAGAAAAAAGCATAAAAGAAACAAACGTTTTAAACAAATCACATTCACCATGAATGGATTGTTCTTAGCTGGTTCACATAGTCCTCAAGAATCCACGGACATCAACCAAGAAGTAATGAAGATTTTTTCTGAATCTCTGGCGATTGATGCGATCAAGAGACCAAGTGAGCTGATTCGAGCTTGTGAGGGATTGCAGGGCGGTGGCTAGCCTCGCCTTGAAAACAGAGTTTTCCTGTCTCTCTAAAAGTTCATGACCCAGTCTCTGAGAAAATAACACAACTTCTCAGTTCAGTCATCACTTTTTATGTTCCATAGATGACCAAGACGAAAGGAGACCTGAATTTCATCATAATAAGCTGACCAAACTTTTTATGTCAAATAAGATTAGGCATTTAGGATAATTTTGCCTGAATAGAAACTATTATATGTTAATGTTCTGAATTTCAACTAAAACTGACATAAATATAGTTTTCTCTTAATTCCCACTTAGATTGAAACCCAAATTATGAATTGGCCATTTCTATTTAGCTAATGTGGAACTTCTCTCAGAATTATTTAGGGAAAAATTTGCTCAAAAGAGAAAATGTTGATTTTGCCTTGTCACTGAAACTGGTTTTAGTATGAAATATTGAACCGTGAGACAAAAGCTTCAAGATGATTTAAGTTATGATAGAAAGACAAGCTTTGCAGTTGAGAGTTTGAGCTCAATTCCAAAGAAAATATGCACTAGTAGTCCTAGAGGAAAGACTCAAAGTCTCCATGGCAAAATACCAAACTACGCTTGAATTTCCAAAATTAGTATTGTCAGCCAATAGTACTTGTAGATCTATGGAAAATTTGAGCTGGTTTACAAACAGGTGCATTCATCAGTTGTTCATAGCTAGATTAGTTTACTTCAGCTCAATTCAAAAGAAAATAAATATGCATAAAATATTTTTGAAATATTCCCCTCTCCATAGCAAAATACTGAAAAGTGTGATGAATTTCCAAACATTGCTATTCTTAGCCAATCGTACTTGTTGAACTATGGCAAGCTAGAGGCTCTTTAGCAACAGTAGTGTTCGTCAGTTCATAGCAAGATCAGTTAATTTTTGGAATATTCATGGGTTATTTCAATACCTGGTATAAGCCCGGATCACAGACAATCAATGGAAGAAGAGCATCTGCTGCAGCCGCCACAAGTTCCGTGCTGAAACCAGATACACATTATGATGTGAGAGAGATAAAGAGAGAGAGAGAGAGAGAGAGAGAGAGAGACGACAGACACCTGTAATCTTCAAAGAGCAGTAAGTGGAGTAACAACTCTAGTAAACGACCCAAAATTCCTTCTTGCCGTGTCCCACTTGGATCATTATAATCAACAGCATGCAGGCCTAGGCCTTCTTTTCCTGAAGATCTCTCCTTGTAATGGAAAGTAGCAAGTGCATTTATCGATGACAAACTCATATTAACAACTTCAACATCCTGAACAACAAGTACCCACACAAATTAGTTGATAAAAAAGAAAGTATCTCACAACTAGATAGGACTAAGCAGGCAATAGTACATTTGTCAGCTTCTTCAATAAAACAGTTATTGGTTGTTGGAAAGATCAAAACCTGTTGAAGAGAGACACACCTGATTGTGAAGGGCAAAATCAAGGGTTCCAATTATATGTGAGAAGGCTTCGGGAGTTAGCTTCGCTACTTTTTCTGGATAGACTTCCAACATATGTGATAGCAGGGAAAAATACTGTAAAAGGAAGGAGTAACATTTATTTGTTTCTTAACGAATATGAAGTTAAATTGTTAACTGTAATTCTAAATTCTTTGTGTACTTTTCTAGAATTACACTTGTGGGAAGCAGAAAAGCAAAATTACCTGACGACACAGTTTTGGATATTTCAGTAGCTCCAAAGATATGAGGGGGGTGATTATGTGGAGACCCAAATACACAACCTGAACATCAACGGACTTTTAAGTTTTTTGGAAATAAATAAAATTTAGGAGACTATGGACAAATCGTAATCTACCGACTTATCACAGTCCTTTTTTGTGGTGTACTTGTCACCGTCCATTGAAATGAGATATCAGGGAGTGGAACCTAATAGAATGCGACACGACCCTAACGATGAGTGCCCGTCCCCGTTCTTTGTTTTTTTGGTGTTAATCAATGAATATTGAAACAATAGACAATGAGGAGAGAGTGGAGCCACCAGGAACAGGATGTGACCATAATGGCGGGTCCTCCTCTCTCTTTCTGTCATCATTTGTCATGGACAGTTACCCCCATGGATGTACTTCCCATTGTACCATAGATTGCGGTATATTTTCCCTTAAGTTATAGCGGTCTAGAGAGAGAATCACATCCCAAAGGCTGTGGTTACCTGTGCAACATCGGGTTTCTCAGCTCCATTACCCAAGTCAGGAGAGAAATCGACCTGCATTTGGAAGAACAACGCGCTGCCATGAGAATACAATATGTTCATTTTCTAAACATACTTCAGCAATCTTCAAAGTGGAAATTTCATTTTATTCATAAAAAATTACCAAATCTTTCGAGCAAAGGTTTGTGAGAAGCTGAAGAAGGGCCCGCAAATCCTTGTACTTCTCAGTCTTTGCCTCGTTCAGCAAGCTGCTTGAGAGGCTTAGTGAGATCTAGAGAAACCAATGGAAATTCATTCTTCAATCGTGAGAACTCATGAGAAGTTGAGAGAACAAAGGAGAAGAGCCAACAAAGGAGAAGTTTATCTATTAAATCATCTTCTAGAAAACATATATGATTCAGAGCAAATTTTTCAGGTAATGAAACTTACAAACACAGTCAAAAAAGGAACATAGACTAAAAAAAGTGACGAATTACATTGATAAAAGAGAAAATTTTGAAGTAAAGTTGTTCATTGTTTATATCAAGAACCTCAAGATCAACTCAAATAATTTTTGTCATGCTCATGCATATTCAGTACCTAAAAGAGGAATATAAATACAAATGGAAGACAACTATTAACTTACCCTGCCAATATTATTAGAGGAGTAAATTTCAAGTAACTGTACACAGAATCTAAAAAGGACTGCAGTATCTTTGGCCTCCAAAAATACGACTTGCCCATCCACCCAGTCGACCACAAATTTAAGCAACAGGTAAACAACTGCAGACTGCACAAGGAGTTCAGAAGTTAATGAAAAATCAGGTTGTCATGCACCAGAAGCACATGATAGACTAAACTCTACAAATTAACAAATCAGAAAAAAATCCCAAACTGAGAAGATTGAGAGAAACTAGTGAGATATAAAAATAGTACCTGATTCTTGTAGATTTCCAATAGGGTAAGCAAGGGGTTCATTATGGCAACACCCATCTCAAACATGCCCTTTTGGGTGCGTGGTTCTGTGGCTCTAGCTGCTCCCCGCAGGCGTTCTAAAAGACAACTGACCTACAGAAAAGTTCTGTTAAGTTGATGCATGTATCACACTTGCTTCTCTTGGCAATGATTGTACACAAGGGTACAAAAAAAAAATAAAAAATGTGGCTATCTTTTTTACCATAACATGAAAAAAAGACACACTGTGGGTCTTTTTTTACCATAAAAATAGCATCAGGTTGCTGAGCAACAGATTTAATGTCATCCTTCTTAGTTATATCAGCTATAAATCCTGTCATTGGCCCCATGAGATCCCTCACATACCTATAAGGAAAAATTTTTTTAATAGGTGCTTCACATTAAATGCAACAACACCAAGAAATACAGATTATGGAAATGTAGAATTTGTCATTGCAGTAACAGATAACTCACTGGTTGGATGCCTCTGAGTTGCTCATACCACAAGCTGAACGTGAAAGCACCTTTGCAAGGGAACGCTGTGCAGAAGCAATTGATAAAAACCAATACTTGTTAAATAATAAATCTGAATACTGAACGAAAATCAATAACTTTGAACAATTATTCAAAAAACAATAAGCATTAACTCAATATGAAAACAGTAAAGGTGTTGTTTTTACTTGAAGAGGAGTGGCTAGTGAGAACAATATCCTTTCATTTGCAAAAGCATTCGCCAGCTCACGCCACGATTCCTGAGTAGAACATTGTACATTATTATTTTTTCATGAAGGTAAACCCATGCACTTGATGTGCAAAACAAGCGAAGCATAACATACATAGAAGATCCATCTTACCAAAGTAACAAGGTGAATGCAAATGTTTTTCCTACAGACAAGGGCTGGAAGCAGCTGAAAGCAAGTAAGCTCCTAACACAGAAATAATAAGGTGAGAATCTTATCTTTAATTGGAATAATAGGTGAGATAATATGTAGCGAAAGTGCTCTCCACCTACCAACATTCCATATCAGAAGCATAAGACTTACAAAGTACATATCACAAGTAAAAAATCTTCCAGTCTCAGTCTCATGATGCCCTTGACCATTTATCAGTTGTCCCATTAATATCACAAGCATATAATTTCAAATACTTCCACGATGCAACACACAAATATACCTGCAATATTTTCTCTCCAGGCCAAGAAATAAGTGTCGTCGAAGCAATACGTACAATTGTATCGAGTAAAGATTTCCCCTGATTTTTCTCTCCAAAGAAACAGAGCAGGGCTTTTCTAGCTTGATGTGGTTCATTTAGCCTCTCCCCTTCCTGGCTTGGAGTGCAGTTATGCCCTCTGCCAGTATCAATCGGAAGTAAATATGTATCAGCCCATCTTGCAAGAAACCATATCAAGGCCTGCAAAAAATAAGATGCATTTAAGAAATGTATACTGCGATCATTGGAAGAATAGAACAAGAAAACTCCTAAGGCTAGAATAGTATAGACTATAGAGATAAACCATTAAACGTCCAGAATTCAAGGATAAGTAGCTGACTCTATATCCTGAGATTCTGCAATTAATTTTTTTGATCATAAAGAATTTTTTAAGATTGAGATTCTGCAACTATATATCATAATTCATTGCAATTATTGATCCCAATTCATTCAAAAGGTCCACTAGAAAAAATTATGGGCAACAATAGCCAAAGAATTTCGTTAACAAGAACAATTATTTCGGACCTCTTCATAAAGGTAAAACATAATCCAGATTCAAGCAAATGCTTTATTTTTTATTTAATGTGCAATATCCATTGCCAATTGCTTTGAGAAGAGTCTCTTACAATCAAAAAACAAAATTTACTACGGTTCCTAATTGGTTGACATCTAGTAACATGGAGGTTTGTGGTTTTTGCCAAGGTATACCAAATAAGTTCAAATCTTCAACTCACTGACTAAATCAAAACAAAAACTCACATAAACTTCTATCCAGGGAACCAGGCCACTAAGATAACTGAGCAGGGATTAATGAGTTCATTCCGCAGCAAACAAACCAAATGGGCAATATAGGTGACAGCTGGCACTAGATGGAATTTGTGTCATGTGATATTCCTTGTAATCATTTATAGCCTTACCATGTGACCATCACAGTATAATTCCTCTTTCATACACCACTCCACCCCTTAATACTGTAACTGGAAAAACCTTTGAAGAAACCATATAGCATGCAATAATTGGAAACGTGTAAAATTTTTCTTTAGTTTCAAGCAACAAAGACCCACCCTTATGTTCAATTGAAAGTAAAAAATCAGCCGCTTCTATTTCTCGAATCTAAGCATTAGTTAGAAGTACCAGTTAACCATTTCTTTTATTGGCGAAGTATTAGACACGAAGATGCTCATATACCGGTACAGAAATGGATGCTAATGCAAAGAACGGGGACAGGACTCAACATTTTCGAAAATGTAGGGTATAGATACAGATACGAGTCTCCCATCTAACACATCCATAAATATGAATTGTAGCTTGTATTATACAGAAATGTGTGCATCAAAACAGTAATATGTATGCACACATCATTATGCATATTGTATTATAGTTCTTTTATATTTATGTCATTTTGTAGACTACCCACGAGCGAGTGATGATGACCTTGATGCAGAACTGCTAACTATGACGAATGTGCTAATTATGTATATGACACCGAAAATGGACCGGTTTGCCGGGAAATATCAAATAGTAGGGACAGCTCCAGGGCTTGGAAACCTCATTTCTTTAAAGGCGGGCAAATCTAGGGAGTGTTATCATTGATGAGACGGTTCTGATTGCTGAACACGGAGGTTGAGTGGGAATCGTCAAAGAAGCAAGCACATAGGTATCATAGGTTTCTATGTTTTTCTTAGTAATTATAGTTTTCTATGTTCATATCATTTTATACTTACAAATATCCTAGCAATAGCAGCATCAGTATCAGCATCGACACGTTAAGCATATACAAGTATCCATGTGTCATAGATCAGAAAATACCATTCGAAAGACAGCTGCTGAGTAGTTTTCAAATAAAGGAACCTACAGCTTCAAGAAATTACCTCCATGAGCCGTGAGCTGAAAAATGCTGCTCTTGTATCAGGATGCAAACTCTGCTCGGCAAAATTAATTATAGAACTGCAAAAAAATAACAAAACAACACTCACTTGAGCCACGAAGGCAATCGTGTCTCTTCAAAAACGGTTGTTTGATATGATTATTAATTCTGTCAAAAATATTCTTTAAATTCAAAATCATGTTATAGCGGCAGCAAGCACTTATACTATAGTTCAGATGAAATCGCAATGGATCTTTTTGAAAGAAAAAACTAAGACTGAAATATCCTGCAAAAACTAGGAATTCCAGCAAGATTAAACATATAGCTCATAACGCTAAATGAAACAACACATAACAATACACTGGACGTTTTGGAACCCTTAACCAATACATTGATAATCTAAGATTGAAGGCATTATGTGATATTCAGAAAACTGAGAGCCTGGCATCCAATTGGACAGATATTTCAGAGACAAAGGGATGTCCATTGCACATGGGTTGGGAAGGAAGAGAGGTAGGAGGTTTGATCAGATGTTTTAGGAGCTTGATGAGCTATAGTATAGTTGCCCAGGACCAGGAGTATCCAAGGGTAACACGTTTAGAGCTGGGATAGGCTTCTGGGGTGATACATATATTACTTTAGCACTTGGATTGCTAAAGGTATATATGAATAGGGGGCCAAGGTTATGCATCTTGTGAGAGGCATGGGGTGTGGTCCTAGGTTGAGAAATCTAAAGGAGATTGTGGTCTTCAAATTAATCTATTTGCTTGTAATTTCAAAAGTTCTTTGGCTCTGAAAAGTATAATTAGGAGATGGGAAGACTTCTTGGTCAAATCAATGTTCTTAAATTCTCTTCACAGCACAGTTCGCTTTGCTTAGGAAGATAGGAAGATAAGCAATTTGGTGCTTTGACCGGTTTGGGGAGTCATTGGAAATATTTAAAAATAAACAATTAACTAACAAATACAAATGAGATGTTTTGCCAAGAAAGGGACTGAAGAAATATCTTTTCTTTTGCTGTATACATGTAATTTGCAGAATTATTTAAAAAATACTATTCTTTAAGGAGGATTGCGCAGATATTTATGATATGGCTGTGTGCTCAAGCCTCAAAATAAATACCCACATTTTAATTTTCAAATTTCAACTTAAATCTTTGAGAAACTTACCAATAAGTATCAAAATCTCATTTTCTTATCTTTATTACTCTCCTAAGCTGACTTGGCTTTAATATTAGCTATGTTTTCAAGCAATTTATAAGTTCACTAAAAGCTCTTTCTTTTAGTTGCTTGCTTTGTTATAGTATTTACCTAATTTCAAATTTCGTATCCTAATTGATTTCTAAATCCAATTGTACAGCAGCCTTTCATATTTTAAATGTCAATTCAGATATTATATTAAGATTGTTTTTGCCACAATAATATCCTAAAAGCCCGCGATAAATTCATTATAACACGATCCCGATATTTTCACATTTTTATCTCATTCTTCAGTGGAATGCATCTTCATTTCGATTCACAGACTGAACATGTTAAGAGGCCAAAGCAAAAGACTTCGGCCTCTTCAAAGCAAAGTGAATCTAAAAAACATTGGTTAGATCTTTCTAAAGAGCTATGTTTAAATGGAAGAGGTTGCTGCCCGAGTTGAGATTCTTGGCCTTCCATGAATGAAAACAAATGGGCAATTGGAGATGAATGACAATTGCCATTGGCATTCATCATTAGAAGGGCTTTGCAGTTCAGCAAATAAATATAAGGGTTTTGCAGTTTCCAAACATTATATTCTGGGCATAAAGGCAGAGGAAATGGTCGAATACCCCCTCCATCCTTGTGATTTTTCTGGAGTTCCTAATTCGGTTCCTGAAATTGATATTTTAATTCACAAAGTCATATAAGTTACCTCGACAGGGTCAAAGAGTAACAAGTAAAAGGGAAAACAGCACAAAGCTACTACAGTGGCTCCTATTTTAACAGCAACACCAATGGATTTCCACTTGTCACCATACAATAATTGGTTACACATAACTAGTACTCAATCTAATGGGGATGGGGCTTGGGCTTAACTGGTTAAGGTGTTGAAGACGGCAAAATTTAAGTCCAAATCTTTAATTCCTACAGCTAAACTATCACAAAAGTACTCAATTTAGTAGAAGCAAGTAAACTTGCCCAGAAAGCAGAACAACAGGGTGCTGGGCTGGATCGGTAACATCTTGGAATTGAGCTTGTAGTGCCTCTGGTACCTGCATACGACATAGTCGTGGAATCAAACAACCGTCCAAAGTTCTTTACAATAATCATTAAAAATAAGAAACAAGGGAAAGCTACTTACAAGTGCAGTCTCCCCATCGCCTGAATCAGCTAGAACATGACCAGATATCAACAAAAGCCAGTAAAGTTCTTCTAAGGTGCGAATAGGATCAGCTCTGCCACTTCCCTGCAAAAAAAGATGCAATAATATCAGCTCTTCCACTTCCCTGCAAAAAAAGATGCAATAATATCAGCTCTTCCACTTCCCTGCAAAAAAAGATGCAATAATATCAGCTCTTCCACTTCCCTGCAAAAAAAGATGCAAAGCAGGACCATGTTTAGCAGGCAGATCTGCAAGGGAACAAAAGAGATGCACCCACACCTATAATTCTCAAACTAACATAGATAATCTTTTATCAGTCCACATTCCATAGAGCTTGGGCATATTTCTTCCAACAAACTGTTGGAACTGACACTGTTACATATCACTCCTTGACGCGTGATTAAGAACAAAAGAGATTAAGAACACTGCATACCATACAGATATAGCAATCAAAAACATCTGAAAGTGAGTCAAGAATTATAACCTGACAAAGCAAGGAAACTTTTTCACTGAATAACCTTGTGAGCAAAGGGATGCTTTTATCAGCTGCTGCACGAGCAATAAGTGCATAGGAGCTTAATCTTTCATCTCTTGCTGCAAGGAAAAAGTAAAAATCACTAATGGAAGAAAAATTAACAAAAGAAAAAGGAAGAATCAGATGCGCATAAACCTCTAAATAAATATACATCAATCTGATACCTGAAATGAAGGCCTGAAACTGTTCAGATGAGTCCCCGTCATCATATGCAGACTCACCAGCAACTGTACCAAAAGTAACTCAAAATGATGCCAACAGTATTTAGCTTTCCAAACCAAAGGATAATGAGATATAACAATGTAGAAAAATGGGCTTCATTCCATCAATGAAACCTTATTACAAATGTGCATTCATATAGTTTAAGTATTACAAATGTGCATTCATATAGTTTAAGTGCTTTCCATTAAGTAATTTTCAATAAATTTCCCTATGACATTAAAATTTATAAAAAAAATTGCAGTTGACATACTAGCAAGACACATCATCAATCAGAAAATTCAAAAATCTAAAAATTACCTTTAAGCTCAAATTCCAGAATTGTGCTGAATAAAGCGAACGCCTCATGGACTCCTACAGCTGAATGTGCACTCTTACTTAAATCTGTTGGCTGAAACAGTACAGTTGAAAATTGTACTCTGTTATACTGTAAGTAAATGACTTGAAATATGGAATAAACTACTTTTACATTTACAATCCCCCCTAGTGTTCTGGGACGGCTCGGCCGAGGTGTTCAGCCCTGGCCTGAGCCAAGTTACTCAGGCAAGTCCAAGCTGACTCGCACGAAGCAGTGCCCACCATGAAAAACGATGAAAAGAAAAAAAAAAGAAAATTTGAAAAAAGAGAAAACCACATGCCCATAGGTTCCTGTCTCTCTATCAAGGCTCCGTCATGTGGCCAAGAGAGAGGGGAGTTCGGCACGTGGAGAGAGAGAAGTTGGACATGTTGCCAATAATTCCTCTCTGGTAAGCTCTCTCTCTCTCTCTCTCTCTCTCTCT